ACTTTACTCGTTACCTGAAAAAAGTAATCAGATTACAGTAACGCGTTACTGCCCATCTCTGGTGTTGATTGTACAATTCACAGTTTGTGTCACACCTCAAAACCACAGAAATGTCTTTGTCTCTATAGTATACTCTTTGCGAGCTGTTCACAAAGAGCCTCAAGCAAAAATTTATTTGTATTGCACTGCTGCACATAAGTATTTGAACACCTGGAAATCAGCAAGAATTCTGAATGATGACCTCATTCATCCTGTCCTTAATACAATGCAGTCATCCTGTCCCCTTTGCAGAAAAGCACCCCTAAAGCATGATGTTTCCACCCCCAAAGCTTCACAGTAGGGATGATGTTCTTGGGATGCAACTTATCCTTCTTTTTCCTCTGCAAGTGAAGTTTAGACCAAAAAGTTCTATTTTGGTCTCATCTGACCACATGACTTTCTCCCACACATCCTCTGGATCATCCAGATCGTCACTGTCAAACTTCAGACGGGCCTGGACATGTGATGACTTGAGCAGGGAAACCTTCCGTGCAATGCATGATTTGAGACCATAATGGCGTAGTGTTCTACTGACAGTGACCTCTAAAACTGTGGTCCCAGCTCTCTTCATGTCATTAACCAGCTCCTCCCGTGTAGTTGAGGGCTGATTCCTCACCTTTCTTATCATCAGTGATACCCCATGAAGTGAGATCTTGTATGGAGGCCCAGTCCGAGGGAGACAGTCATCTTTAGCCTCTTCCATTTTCTAACAATTGCTGTTTGGCAATTGCTCCGTAGCCCTTTCCAGCCTTGTGGAGGTCCACAATTTTGTCTCTGATTTCTTTTGACAGCTCTGTGGTCTTGCCCATGGAAGCAGTTGGAGTCTGACTGGCTGTAGGGTGGACAGGTGTCTTTAAAAAGCTCAGACAGGTGCTACTAATTTAAATTAATAAGTGGAGTAGACGTGGACTTTTTAAAGGCATAGTAACAGGTCTTTGAGAGCCAGAATTCTTGCTTCTTTGAAAATCATACAATGTGATTTCCTGAATTGTGTTTTAAATGCTGTATCTCACGGAGGGAATGCTACAATGTGAATATCAGACCACTCCATGATTTCTAAGTGGGAGAACTTGCAAAATCGCAGGGTGTTCAAATACTTATGTTCCTCACTGTAAATGTTTAAATGGTAGATTGAAACACAGAGCAAACACACAAAGGGAATCCTGAAGTCTGTCATCTTTTCAGACAGAATATAACGACGGCTTTATGTTAAAACAGCATTTGTGCAGTTTTTTTTTTTTTAACTTTAAGACTTTTGGTAATGATTCTTCAGTTGACTTCAATCTGTAAACTTACTGTTTACAGGTGATATGCAAAGTGAAAACTTAAATCTACTTATTTATATAAGTTTATATAAATCTAAATTGTGAACGATTTTTTACATACATTAAACACAGATGGGATTCTGAAGTCTGTTTTTGTTTCCTGCTTGGTTTCAGAAACTGGCAGCAGAGTGTCAGAGCGCCGGCCACTCTGGTGTTCTGGTGCCTTTCAAGTGTGACTTGACCAACGAAGAGGAGATTCTGTCCATGTTTGCAGCGATCAAACAGCAGCACAGAGGCGTGGACGTGTGCATCAACAACGCCGGCTTGGCTCACCCAGAGCCGCTGCTAAGTGGCAAAACCAGCAGCTGGAAGAACATGATGGATGTAAGAGCTCAGATCTTGGTTTACATTGATGTAACATTCACGAGCAGTTTTCAAGTAAAACATTGAACTGAAATAACAAATGTCACAAAGGTCACCCATCAGTGATTTTACTGCTGTGGTATTCTTTAAACATTAACACTTTCAAACAGTTTTTTCAGTGTTATCTCCTGGATTGGTCTGCAGCGATGTTTGTGATTTCTTTCAAAGTAACATCAAGGGTGTCCCAGCAGAACAATAAATTAAAATAGTAAATGTAACCTATCAGTGCTTTTAATGTTGCACCTGAGTAAGAATTAACACTGTGGGGTTAATTTCCAATTGTGCACAAGAAGAAATGATTAAATGTAAAGTTTTTTTCTTCTTCTCGGTCTCTTGCAGGTGAACGTTTTTGGATTGAGTATCTGCACGCGTGAAGCATATCAGTCAATGAAAGAGAGACATGTTGATGATGGCCACATCATAAACATAAACAGGTGCAGTTTTATTTGCTGATGTACAATGACAAGCCCGCATGTCACATACACTGTTGGTTTCATCTACACATAGATACAATACAACATTCCTGCTACATTAACAATGATAGAAAAACCTACTGTTACAGTTTTAGAATCTTGAAGAGATGCATCCAAATGCAGGATGCAGAGAGGCAAAGTGCAGGAACCAAAGATGCCTCATTTATTCTTAGCCAGCACACAGTCCATAAGACAAGGTGTCAGGGATAACAGCTGAGCTAAATCAGAAAAAAGTGATTTAGTTAATTTGTAGATTTATTAAATTATAACTATACCTGAGAAATATGAAAGAAAGCACAATCTAAGCTGATGATAAAATCACAGAAAACCAAACAGGAATTATGGCTAGAAAATGAAACCCTGAAGGACCAAGAACAGAACAGTAAACAGCCGAGAGAATCCAAAAACCTCTTGGCTCACATGGAACACAGAAAAAATGTCTGCGCTGGAAAAGGTGCACAGCTCAGGAATTATCATTATCAAATCATCAAAACAAAATGATTGTTACAGACCTGATACAGCTCTGTGGTGGGCCACAGATTTTCTTGAATCATTCAGACATGGCTTTAAAGGAATAACTTAAAGATCAGATGTTGTTTAATGCCCATCTGTGTAAAAGCTAACAAATTGCCTGCTGTTTTAGTGTATGTGGACATCATGTGATTCCCCATGGTGAGGTACATTTCTACGCCGCCACCAAGTTTGCTGTAACCGCTCTGACTGAGGGCCTAAGGCAGGAGCTCCGTGCAGAAAACACCCATATCCGAGCCACAGTAAGGCTTTAAAAGACATTGTAACCAGCTCCAAGGCTGCCTTTACCACCAATATAAGCTTCTATGACACACATGCACAATGCTTCCTGAAGTTCTTTTCAGTATCTACTCTTTTGCAGAGCATTTCTCCCAGCTTAGTGAAGACTGAATTTCCTTTGCGGCTCTATAGCAACAATCCAGATATAAAAGCCAGAGTTTTCTCTGCATATAAGGTAAGATTATTATTTCGGCAGTTCATGTACTATTTAGATGATTACTCGAATTCAAGAAAATAATATTTTCATTTCTCTTGCAGCCTTTGGAAGCAAAAGATGTTGTCAACGTTGTTATATATGTGCTCGGTGCCCCTCCTCATGTTCAGGTTTGTGATTTACTCTTGTTTTCATTTTCTTTTAATTGTGACTTATTGAACTTTTTTTGTTTTCCTGTATTATGTGGCGTTATAATAAGGTAACATTAACATAACTTTTCTTTCAGATTGGAGAGGTTCAGGTGCTAGCAACAGAGCAGAAGTTTTAGAGTTGCACCATGAGACCCTCCTGAATTAATAAGACCAATTCTTCTCCTTTATGAAACTGACGACCAGCATTGGGTGTAACATGCTGCCGTAATCAGATTACATTTTTTCAGTAATACAACACAGTTGTAACAATTATAGCACTACTGGCCTTTTGAAGGTTCTTCCAATCATCTGGAGGATGGCCAAATAGAAAGAAAAAACTGTTAATCATGTCTTGCTGTTGCTCTATAACCAGCTGATTTTAGTTCGTGTGTAAGCAGCAGGAAAATTGTAAAATGGGAATCAACTTCTGAGGAGTAAAAATAAGGACATTACTTGTATTTCTTGTATTGCATGAATTGATAAGAGCACAATGGTAAAAGCACAAACTGCATCCATGATGGAAGCAACTGCATTATACAACTAACTCAACATTAGCTCTTTGCAAATATCTGCACACACACCATGCAAACACAAGGCTAGTTAAAAGCCCAGAGAGATAGCTGAGTGTATGCTAACCCCAGCCCAGCAGCCAGAGCCTGATCTTAAACATCTAACAAATGCAGTGATGAGGTCGGAGGTTCCATTTCTACCCACTCTACCTGTTTCTACAGTGTAATCACAGTGGCAGTCTTTTTTTAAACAGTGTTAGAGCTGGTTTTCAGCGTTTAGAATTAAACGCTAAAAGAAATGCATATCCACGCAAGTTGGGGATTTGTGTCAGTGTGTGGGGCTATAGCCTAAGGTCATGTTGTTCTTGGTAATTATATGATAGTGTATTTCAGGGAATCTTACAGAGTAAAATCTCACAGGTAATGTGAGTAATGACTGAAACACAGGGGACAGTTTATGATCTGGTCCTAAAATAACTTTATGATGTTTGTGCTGGAAAATTTTACTAATTTATCTAATAAAATGGTGTTCAAGGAAACTTTGTTGCACTCTGTTATTTTTTTATTAGAAAATTATGTATCTACATAATTATTATGCATTATTTAAAGGAAATTAAATGTATACATTGTATGGCACAGAAAGGGCTGAAAAATAGCTGAAATATTTGGATACCATTAATGAATAACATACTGCTAATATATGTGAAAGTAAATGTAAAAAGTCCTGAGAATGTTAATGTTATGTTATGTTAGTTAAACATATTGAATTTCCCAGAACATACACAAGCTGAGTGAAGTGACACAGAAATATCTGTGTGGCGGCCACAGTAAGAGCTGTTTGAATTCAGAGGGGCGTTCTTCATTACCTCCTTTGGCATGTGATACACTGGATCATCCTTTATGAAACGAGAGAAGATAAAGCCATCAACACTCGTTCATGAAAACGATCAACATAATTAACTGCTGTAATAAAATATTAATTTTGTTAAAGTGTTGCCTGAAAAACAGTCACCAGCCGCTTTATTAGATACAGCTCGCTATTACAAAGTTGGACCCCTTTTGCCTTCAGATCGGCTTAAACTCTAAATGGCAGAGAGTCAACAAGGTGCTGGAAACACTCCTCCCAAGATTTTGGTCAAACAGTTGCTGCCGATTTTTTAGATGCACATCCGTAATGTGAGTCTTTTAAGTTCCCAAATCCCGTTGGATTGAAATCTGGTGACTCTGGACTTCATTTGAGTGCAGCGAAGTCAAAACAGAAAATTACCAGGACATTTTCTGTTTTTCTACGTAATTATTTTTTACAGCGTGGTTTAAATATTAATTAGATTTTATATTTGTTTTTAGGGATGCAACGATACCAATTTTTTCAAACCGATACGATACCAATACTTGGATCTGAGTACTTGCCGATACCGATACAAAAACCGATACTTCTACCACACACACACACACAAATTCAATGAATTGGAAGACAGGTTTTATTTATTCTCTGCCGATAATAAATAATATCTTAATAAAACTTTTACGAGTATGAGTACACACACATTTTACAGTATCGGCCCGATACCGGGCCCGATACCAGTATCGGTATCGGTGCATCCCTATTTGTTTTTATAAAACACTCTGCTGACATTTGTGCTTTTCCACGTGCTTTTCCAAGAGATGTTGGAAATGGAATGTTTTCCAAGAAGGAACCGACCAATAGGATTTTATACCCATTTATTACTTATCATCAACATAACCTGCTCAAGCTCAGGCCTCAGGACTCTGGTGTGTTTACGTCTGTTCATTGTGCTTGGAAATATTTCATCTGTGGAATAAAGAGTTTGGTTTCAGTCGTTTTTTAATCTGTTTGCTTCTCTCCTCTTGAACCTTCTGTGACAGGAAAACCCTTCTTAAAATGCTGGACAGTTATTAGTAGGAACCATCCAGGTTAACAAATTTGATTTAAAAAGAAACAAAATAATGACTTAAAAGTTTTTTT